GGAAGTTTTACATTCTAATATGAATGTATGAGAACATTTATTTTGGTTTTTGTTTTGTTGTGTTTTTGAGACGAGGTCTCTGTTGCCCAGGCAGGAGTACAGTGGCAAGATCACGGTTCACTGCAGCGTTGACCTCCCGAGGCTCAGGTCTTCCTCCCACCTCAGTCCCCTGAGTAGCTTGGACTATAGGTGAGTGCTACCACACCTGGCAAATATTTGTATTTTTTGTAGAGACAGGATTTCACCATGTGTTGCCTAGGCTGGGCTCAAGCAATCCACCTTCCTCAGCGTCCCAGAGTGCTAGGATGAGCCACCATGCCCAGCCAGAAAATTTTAAAAATAGATATTTGTAGAGTTATACATCCAGGAGGATTTTTAGAAATGGGATTTCTAAGTCAAATGGTAAATGCGTATATAATTTAACTATATGCTGCCAAATTCCCTGGTGTTTTTTTTTTTTTTTTTTTTTTTTTAATGAAGTTAAAAATAATTCCAAAGGAAGCTAGGCATAGTGGCTCACACATGTAATCCCAGCCGTTGGGGAGGCCAAGGCAGGAGAATCACTTGTGTCCAACGTGAGCAAGATAGCAAGACCCTATCTCTGCAGAAAACTAAAGAATTCGCTGGACATGGTGGCACATGCTTCTTGTCCTAGCTACTTGGGAGGCTGAGGTAGGATTCCTTGAGCCCTGCAGGTCAGGGCTGCAGTGAGCCAAGATTGTGCTACTGCACTTCAGTCTGGGCAACAGAACAGGGCCCTGTCCCTTACCCCATCCCAAAAACAAGCCTGAGAATAAGAGGAGATAATTCCTGCTTAGGTAACTGACCAAAAAAAGGCTTATATCCAAAATATATTAAGAACTCTCTTACACATTAATTCCAAAAATTCAAACAATCCAATAGAAGAATCAGTAAAGAGGCTTGAGCAGGCTCTTCACAAAACTGTGCTATGGATAATAAACATGAAAAATTGAAGTTTTTATCCTCATTAATTATCAGGCAAATGGAAATTAAATCTGCCACTACACATGCATCAGCATGGCTAAATCCAAAAAGAGTTACAATACCAAATGTTGAAGAGAGTTTAAAGAAACTAGAGTTTGCATATACTTTTAGTGTGTAAAGTAGAAATATGTTTTGAAAAACGATTTGGCATTGCGTTCCAAATTTGAACTTAAGGATATACCCTTAAATACAACCATATAGCATCATCATTTGAAGTAGCTCAGAATTAAATAGCTTTAATGTCTGTCTACAAGAATACATGAATAAACCAAGCTATAATGGTTAAGTATCAGAAATATTTGGGACCAGAAGTGATTTGGATTTCAGAAGTGATTTGGATTTCAGATTTCTTCAGATTTTGCAATATTTGCATTATACTTCAGAAATTTAAAATGTTCCAGTGAGCATTTCCTTTGAGTGTCATGTCTATGCTCAAAAAGGTTTTTTTGGAGCATTTTGGATTTCAGATTTTCAGATTAGAGATACTCAACCTGTTTTATGGAGTGCTTTTAGGTAAAAGGAAAAGAACTACAGCTATGTGCAACAGTATGGATGATTCTCATAAACATAATGTTGAATCAAAACAGCTAGACGTAAATGAATAAATGATTTCATTATAAAGTTTAAAAACAGACAAAATTAATCTATACTGTTAGAAGTGAGAATAGTGCTACCATTTGAGAAGAGGGGCAATGATTTAGACGTGTCGTGTGCATCAAGGTGTAGAAATTAATGATGCATTATACCTTTGTAATTCTACACTTTTGTGAATATATATTTCAATTAAGTGTTTAAAAAATTCAGGTGTCATTTCCAAGTGTTTGAAAGAGATTAGCAAAATGAATATAAAGAAAACATCAAAAGCTGAAAGCAACATTTAATGGGAAAAAAAGTAAAACTGATCAGTAAACTCAAGTGATAGGTTTTTTAGAAGTATAAAATTGGCTGGTCATGGCCGGTCACGGTGGCTCACGCCTGTAATCCCAGCACTTTGGGAGGCTGAGGCGGGCGGATCACGAGGTCAGGAGATTGAGACCATCCTGGCTAACACAGTGAAACCCCGTCTCTACTAAAAATACAAAACAAATTAGCCAGGCGTGGTGGCGGGCGCCTGTAGTTCCAGCTACTCAGGAGGCTGAGGCAGGAAAATGGTGTGAACCCGGGAGGCAGAGCTTGCAGTGAGTTGAGATGGCACCACTGCACTCCAGCCTGGGCGACAGAACAAGACTGTGTCTCAAAAACAAACAAAAAGTTGGTTGGTCATGTGGCTAGCACCTGTAATCCAGCACGTTGGGAGGTCAAGGCGGGAGGATCGCTTGAGCCCAGGAGTTCAAGATCAGTCTTCCCAACATTGTGAGGAACCCTCTTCTCCATTCCAGCCCTACCACCACTCTCTACCAAAAAAATTTTTTTTAATTGGCCAGGTGTGGTGGGGGCTTGTGCCTGAAGTCCTAGCTACTCAGAAAGCTGAGGCAGGAAGATTGCTTGAGCCCAGGAGTTCAAGGCTGCTGTGAGCTTGATCCTACTATTACACTCCAGCCTTGGAGACAGAGTGAAGCTCCGTCTCTCCCATACCCCCAGAAAAGTATAAAATAGACAAACTTTTGCATAATGTGTGATTCAGCATTTCATCCACCCCATACATTTTCTTTTTTCTTTTTCTTCTTTTTTGTTGAGACAAGGTCTGGCTCTATCGCCCAGACTGGTGTGCAGTGGCATGATCTCGGCTCACTACAACCTTTGCCTCCCAGGCTCAAGCCACCTTCCCACCTCCCAAGTAGCTGGTACTACAGACATGCACCACCACACCTGGCTAATTTTTGTGTTTTTTGTAGAGATAGGGTTTTACCATGTTGCCCAGGCTGGTCTCAAACTTGTGAGCTCAAGTGATCTGCCTGCTTTGGCCTCCCAGAGTGCTGGGATTACAGGCATGAGCCACACCCCATACATTTTCTACCCTCTGCTAGGACCTATGAATATTAAAAGAAAAACTTTAGATAAATGTAATAGTTAAGCATTAAAGGATTCGTGAATCAGGCAGCACTCAAAACCAGAAGAGGTTCAGGGGCTCTGCTGTAGCAGCATGCCCATGCCCAACTGGGTTTTATAGACTGAATATGGAAGCAAAGTAAAGAAATTACTTAATTGGCTACAGCTAGGCATTAGCCTTAGCAGTATTCTGAGTTTCTTGTGTGAACCATTAGTAGTATTCTATTGCTTTGGATAAGAAGTTGAGTGTCACTTTTTAGGCAAGCCAGATGTCAGTTTTCAAGTGTCTTATGGTTATTTTCTTCTATTTTCTTGCCCAGAACCAGTTCTGAGTCTGTAAATACACATTTATATGTGTGTGTGGTAGGAGAGGTGGAGGATGATATTACTTATCCATTCGTCTACTTTTTTCCATAGTATTTGTCACCAATTGATATAATACATATTTATGGCTGGGCACGGTGGCTCACGCATATAATCCCAGCACTTTGGGAGGCCAAGGCGGGCGGATCACCTGAGGTCAGGAGTTCGAGACCAGCCTGACTAACATGGGGAAACCCTGTCTCTACTAAAAATAGAAAATTAGCTGGGCGTGGTGGCACATGCCTGTAATCCCAGCTACTCGGGAGGCTGAGGCAGGAGAATCGCTTGAACCCGGCAGGGCGGAGGTTGCAGTGAGCTAAGATTGCCCCACTGAACTCCAGCCTGGACAACAAGAGCGAAACTCCATCCCAAAAAAAAACAATAAAACTTGTTTATGTGTTTATTATCTGCTTAGCACTTTAGAATGTGAGATACCTAAGGTCTAGGACATTTTTTGTATAGTTGACTATCCTAAGTGTCTAGTATATTACCTCACGAAGATAAGGTCCTTCATAAATATTTGCAGAGTGAATGAAAGCATAAGCCAGAGATAAGGACTTGAAGGGAAGTCACCTGGCCTACATGACTTTGCCAGCTGGAGGAGCTAAAGATGTCTAAATTCAATAAACTGTTTGTGTGGGAGTCCTCAAGACCACCACCCTCATGCTCAGTGATAGAAGTACTCACAGGACTCAGAAGCTATTAAACCTACAGTTATGGTTTATTACAATAAAAGGGTACAGATTAGAATCTGCAAAGGGAAAAGATGAATGGAATGAAGTCTGGAAAAAAACAGTCTTCTCTCCCGTGTAGTCACATGGACAGTGCTTAAGTTGCTGACTAGGGAAGCTCACCTGAGCTTTGGTGTCCAGGATTTTTACCAAGGCTTAGTCCTGTAGGCATACAGCACCTGAATGACTTACTTCATACACTTATGCCCAGCCTGTCAACAGTTCAAACTCCTGCGTTATTGCCAGAAGCCTCAGGCATACAAAAACAAGCCTTCAGCATAAATCATATGGTTAGCGTACACAATCTGGTCACGCTAATATAGTTTGGCTCAGTAGCTCAACCATACAAAAATATACACTTATCAGGCAAGATATTCCACAGGCTAACAGGTCATCTCTCACAAACTGAGCCAAGTGTCAGTCCTGAAGACAGATCTTTCTCAGGAGAGTGCGGGGTTTGGGCATCCCAGGCCTGTTGAGTTAACCTTTCCGCACATCATTTCATGACGATCTCGTGGTCACGTTAGAGAATAAGAAGAACCTCAGGAGTTTAAGTTTGTTAGTCAGTGTAACCTGCATTCTTATCCTGGCTCACACTTCCTGATTGGTGATGTTGGGTCAATTAGTGTCTGAGCTTATTAGGTTTCCTCAACTAATACGATAGTAACAAAAACTGCTTTGATAATTATATGAACTTATCCTACCACTGTTTCTGGCACATGGGTACCAGGTAAATGGCATTTGTTATTATTTATGTCCACGTGGCATAATACTGTAGTGGCATTCACATGAACAACTTCATCTTCTGCAGAGAGATGGCTAATGAATGGCGCTTGATGACAGATGAGTAATGCCTGTTGCTTAAAGATTGACGGTATGAGACAAGACTCCCATTACTACTTAATCAAGATGAATTGAGATTGACCTACTCATAAGTTCAGACAATGTCTCGAAGAGACTTTGGGAACAAGATATTCAGGTACATTTCACTGTTAGACTCACAGGATGCTGGCCATTGATCTTTCCCTTTGTGGTAAGTCCATGTTAATGGTCCTTCGAGACCCTGCTTTAACCAGGCTGTGAACAGCTTGTCTTGTGATTAGGGTTTAGGGTCTAAGTGGCCCTGCTTTTGAGATATCTGGAAGGGGCTAAAGTAGATATGAATATTCTGTGGTCTAAATCCTGGGATTTGGGAAGGAGGGGTAAGTACACAGGCTTTTGAGATACCTAGAAGGTGCTAAAGTAGATATGAATATTCTGTGGTTTAAATCCTGGGATTTGGGGGGGAGGGGTAAGTATGCAGGCTTTTGTGGAAGAGGTTCAGCTTAATCACATGATGAGTTTCATTTTTGGCAAATAAGAAGGAAAATGTTAACTTCTCCAGACTTTTTATTCCTTATAAAATGGAATTGTTAAACTCTCTCTCCTGGTCATCAAAGCCTGAAGCATATTTTCTGGCTTCAGGTGAGTCACGCTGCTCAGGCATTTTATTGTAATAATGTATGTGTGTCCGCTTAGTATTAATATGAGGTGGCTTCTTGGCTTGTGAGTATGGAAGCTATCAGCAGCCTGGATTCTCAAGTTTTATTTCTTCTTCTCAAGATCATCTTTCTCAAGACTTCTTCTGTCTTCATGAGGCAAAATTTGAAGAGGAAAGGATGGTGGCTGGGTGGTTGACAAGTTACTCTCAGGTAAGTAGGAAATTGCTTTTTCTGTAGAAGCATATGCTTCTTATTACCATGTAGATGTGTTTTCTCCTAGTGGAACAGAGCTCCTACAAGCAAAGAGGGTCTGCTTAGGGACCACATCTCTCATCAAACTTCTTCGGACCACAGGCCTCTCACGTGGTTAACAGATTTCACAGGGAAATGATCCTACTATCCCAGTGTTTACTAATTCAGTCTGACTCTCATCCATGCTGATTATATGCTTTCATTTTGCTGTGAGAGGGAGAGAATGCACTTGTGCTTCTCAGAATTTGTGCTGTCACTAGAGCATTTATTTGAGTGTCTGTAATGTACTCAGGATTGTGCTAAAACCTGTCGATAGCGAACGATAAGAAGTCACAATCTAGTTGTGCTGAGGTATATTCAGTTAGGTGAAAGAGGCGCTCTTCAAGCCATGTGACTAGATGAGATCACCAGTGAATATGTACAGACAGAGGAGAAGAAAGTGAGGACCGTCAAGTGACAGGGACCAGAGAGTCTTGTCAAGGCGTGCCGAGACAGGGCCCCTCATTGTCCAGTCAACACAGTGGAGAAGGTACTTGCTTGATGCCAGAATGTGTGTGATGGTTTAGGATTCAGTGACCTTTGAGGATGTGGCTGTGGACTTCACCCAGGAGGAGTGGACTTTGCTGGATCAAACTCAGAGAAACTTATACAGAGATGTGATGCTGGAGAACTACAACAATCTAGTTGCAGTAGGTAAGGCTGGTACCAATCTTTTCGTTTAGTTTTTTTCTGGAACAAATATGTCTTAAGTAACTATATTCTAGGCTCTCTGCTTGTTAATGGGCTGCATTGGTAAACAGGCGAAACATTGTTTCCATCTCATAGACCTTACTGCCTAGTGATTTTTCTGATGAAATTGAACATCTATTCATTGTTCTGGCTTTGTTTTCTCCATGGATAAAAGACTTAGAGCTTCTTGAATATGTATACGAGCTTGAGCCTGGGTTGCATGGGAAGAATTGCTAGTCCTTTTGGTGCACAGTGAATGAGAAAAGAGTATTTGCAGTTTAGGTTCACTTGAAAGTTTTTGTCATGAACATTGTGCTGTTTAAGTTATACCTGAGAGGGTTCAGAATGCCCAAACAGCAAAATCTTAGCCCTTAATTCATGGAAGCATTTGTTATCCCTTGCACATTCTTTCTTTTCTTTTCTTTTCTTTTTTTTTTTTTTTTTTTTTTTTTGAGACAGAGTCTCGCTTTGTCGCCCAGGCTGGAGTGCAGTGGCATCTCAGCTCACCGCAAGCTCCGCCTCCCGGGTTCACGCCATTCTCCTGCCTCTGGAATAGCTGGGACTACAGGCGCCCACCACCACGCTCAGCTAATTTTTTTGTGGGTTTTGTTGGTATTTTTAGTAGAGACAGGGTTTCACCGTATTACCCAGGATGGTCTTGATCTCCTGACCTCATGATCCGCCCGCCTCGGCCTTCCAAAGTGCCCGGATTACAGGCTTGAGCCACTGCGCCCGGCCATCCCTTGCACATTCTAACATCATTCATCTTTCTCTGAGAGCAGGGTACTAGCTACGCAGACATGGTTTGACTTTTCAGGTGAAACAAGAAGAGTTAAAGACAGTGCAGAAAATTCTCCAAGATGAGAGAAAAGACAGATGTGATTATTTGTGAGAAACAGCCCCGATCAGAGGTGCAGTCTGTTTATAAATGTTAAGTAGGAAGGTTTTGAAAGTGTACTTTTTTGGGGAGAATATCAAGGCCAATTGGTTTCTGTGGTTCCTTGGGTACCTTAACTTTTCTTTCTCTTTCACTTTTCATCCGTCTTGGAAACTTTCTTTTGCCCTGACATTAAGATGTGTCTCATTTCTTCTTTAAATTTATGATTTGCATTTAGCTGTGTATCCATTTCCTTTCAACTTTGTTTCCCTGGCTGTACCTCTTTTTTGTTCACTATAAAGTCTCAATGTTTAGAGAACTATTTCTTTTTGTTGTTGTTGTTTTTTAGAGACGGAGTCTCACTCTGTCAGTTCACTGCAACCTCTGCCTCCGAGGTTCAAGCGATTCCCCTGCCTCAGCCTCCTGAGTAGCTGGGACTACAGGTGCGTGCCACCTTGCCTGGCTAATTTTTTTTTTTTTTTGGTATTTTAGTAGAGATGTGGTTTCACCATGTTGGCCAGGATGGTCTCAATCTCCTGACCTCGTGATCCGCCTTTCTTGGCCTCCCAAAGTGCTGGGATTACAGGCGTGAGCTACCACGCCCAGCCTAGAGAACCATTTCTTAGTGAATCACCTACCAACTTGACCTCAGTACCTTACTGTTGCTAGACTCTTATTACATCCAAGTTTCTCAATTTCTGTTTCCCTTTCTTTAAAAAACAAAAACAAAAACAAAAAAAAACTGTATTTCAAGCCAGTGTTTGAAACTACAATACACGCTAGTCGTGCATTTTTAATACCCTTTTTAAAATCATTATTTCTCTAAGAACTTAAAATTTTTTTTTTCATCTTATTTCAGATTGGGAGAGTCATATTAATACCAAATGGTCAGCACCTCAGCAGAATTTTTTGCAGGGGAAAACATCCAGTGTGGTGGAAATGGTAAGATTCAGAAGGTATAATTTATTGCCTTCCATGTTAGAGGAAGATTGGAAATTCCGTAAAATGGAAAAGCCGCACAGTAACCTTTAGACATTTGAGACTAGTGTTTTTCACCCAAAAATAATCTGTCTCTTGGAGACACTGTGGATCATGAGTTTGACAAACACTCTAAACATCCCTCATAATATATTTGCTTACATATTTCCTTCAACTAAACATTCCCATATAGGTATCTCAGATGTTTTTGATAAATAATTCACTCTTGGGCCACTATCAGCTAAGCTCTATTTAGAAGCCCTGTGAAAGTAAAGAATATAACAGAACTTCCTGCAGTCACTTTGTTTCACTTGAAAGCACTCAGATCTGAACCATGCATTGCAATGAAAATGGCAGGAACAAACAATTTCAATTATACTAACTTATTTTCCGTGCATAACAGAATTCAGAGTAAAAGGGAGAATCTGAATGAAATAAATTTGGAAAACTTGTATGAATCATCATTAATTTTCACCAACAGGAGAGAAACCATTTTGGAGAGGAACTGTTTGACTTTAACCAATGTGAAAAAGCCTTGTGTGAACACTCATGCCTTAAGACTCACAGGAGAACCTACTTTAGAAAGAAAACCTGTGAGCGTAATCAGTGTGAAAAAGCTTTCACAAAACCCTCTACTTTACACAAGAAAACTGATATTGGAGAGGAACTTCCTAACTGTAATCAATGTGAAACAGCCTTCAGCCAACATCTACGTCTTGTTTGCAAGAAAACTAGCCAAAATCTACATCTTGTTTGCAAGAAAACTCACACTCAAGAGAAACCATACAAATGCAGTGACTGTGAAAAAGGCTTACCTTCCTCCTCACACCTCAGAGAATGTGTAAGAATTTATGGTGGAGAGAGACCATATACTCATGAGGAGTATGTCAAAACCTTTTCTGATTCTACAGGCCTTTTTGTACACATGCAAACTCAAGATGGAGAAAAATTCTATGAATGTAAAGCATGTGGGAAAGCCTTCACTCAGTCTTCATATCTTACTCAGCATTTAAGAACTCATAGTAGAGTGTTACCTATAGAACATAAGAAATTTGGCAAAGCCTTTGCATATTCCCCAGAACTTGCTAAACATATGAGACTTAGAACTAGAGGGAAACACTATGTTTGTAATGAATGTGGCAAAGAGTTTACTTGTTTCTCAAAACTCAACATTCACATAAGGGTTCACACTGGAGAAAAACCATATGAGTGCAACAAATGTGGGAAGGCCTTCACTGATTCTTCAGGTCTTATAAAACACAGGCGAACTCATACTGGAGAAAAGCCTTATGAATGTAAGGAATGTGGGAAAGCTTTCGCTAACTCTTCACATCTTACAGTACATATGAGAACTCACACTGGTGAGAAGCCTTATCAATGTAAGGAATGTGGAAAAGCCTTTATTAATTCCTCTTGCTTTAAAAGTCACATGCAGACTCACCCTGGTGTAAAACCCTATAACTGTCAACATTGTGGGAAAGCCTTTATTCGATCCTCATTTCTTATTCGACATTTAAGAAGTCACAGTGCGGAAAGGCCTTTTGAATGTGAGGAATGTGGGAAAGCCTTTAGATACTCCTCGCACCTTAGTCAACATAAAAGAACACACACAGGGGAGAAGCCATATAAATGTCAAAAGTGTGGGCGAGCCTTCGCTATCTCATCAGGCCTTACAGTACACATGAGAACTCACACTGGCGAACGGCCCTTTGAATGTCAGGAATGTGGGAAAGCCTTTACTCGGTCCACGTATCTTATTCGACATCTAAGAAGTCACAGTGTGAAGAAACCATATAAGGAATGTGGGCAGACCTTTAGTAATTCCTCATGCCTTACTGAATGTGTGTGAATTGGGGCTGATATTTGGAAAGAATGTGGTAAAGCCACTACTTCCTCATACTTACTGAACATGTACTCATAGTGGCAATGTACACAGTCATAAGGAATGTGGGAAGCCTTCCTTGGTGTCTCAGATCTCAACAATTCCAATAGAAGAGAAGACATATGAATGTAAGGAATGTGGGAAAGTCTTGGCTCCTTCCATAGGCAGTACTTACTCATGTGTCTCTGCATCCTAGGAAACAAACTGAATGTAGAAAACCATCAGTCGATGCTTACATCTTACTGAGTCTGTTTGAACTCATGCTGGAGAGAAATGCTGTGAATGTGAGGAAGGTGGAAAAGCTTTCATTATTTTCCTCAGGCCTTATTGAGCTTGTGAGCACACTGGATATAAATGCACATCCTCTGGATGTAAGGAATGTGTTGAAACCTTTTGCTCTGCCTTACACCTTAATATTCAACTGTGATCTCACAAGTGTGAAAAATCTTGAATGTAAGATGTGTGGAGATTCTTCTTTGTTTTTAGCTTCCACTTTGGGAACATGTCAGATCACACATTGGGAAGTCCCATGAATGAAAGAGATGTTGGAAAGCCCTTGAACTTGGTCATTAGGAAACATCCACACTGAAGAGGAACTAAACTGTATGGAAGGTCAAAAAAGCTGTATTAATTTAGATGCAAAAAGTCATACTAGAGGAATACCATATCAGAATGCTTTTGGTAAATATACATGTTTTAAAGAGGTATATATTATTAATAAAAATATCTAGCTAGTCTGAAGATCCTGAGTTATCTCGATTGTTGACGGTTACAGATGGAACTTTTAATTGTTTAGGAGTTCCACTCTTTCTTCCATTTGTCAGTACTACACTTCACTAGTCTTTAAAACAATTTTAGGCTGGGCGCAGTGGCTCATGCCTAAAATCCCAGCATTTTGAAAGGCCAAAGCGAGTGGATCATTTGAGGTCAGGAGTTTGAGACCAGCCTGGCCAAGATGGTGAATCCCCATCTCTACTAAAAATACAAAAATTAGACAGGCATGGTGGTACGTGCCTGTAATCCCACCTACTCGAGAGGTTGAGGCAAGAGAATTGCTTGAACCTGGGAGGCAGAAGTTGCAGTGAGCTGAGATCATGCCACTGCACTCCAGCCTGGGCGATGTGGTGAGACTGTCTCAAAAAAAGAAAGGAAAAAAAAATTAAAGTATCCTCAAAGGGTTTTTTAATGAAAAACTTAGTTATAAGAATAAGGAATTGAGGAACATTTAGGGGGTATAAGTTTTTACTTAATGCATACGAGAAAATTGGTCCTGGCCAGGCATGGTGGCTCACACCTTAATTCCAGCAATTTGGGAGGCCAAGACAGAAGGATCACTTGAGCCCAGGAGTTCAGGACCAGCCTGGGCAATATAGTGAAACCTCATCTTGACAAAGAATAAATAAGATTAACTGGGTGTAGTGGTTTGTACCTGTAGTCCCAGCTATTTAGGAGTCTGGGAGGAGAGGATTGGTTGAGCCTGCTCAGGGAGGCAGAAGTTGCAGTGAGCCCAGATTGTGCCACTACACCCTAGCCTGGTCTACACGATGAGACCGTGTCTAAAAAAAAAGAAAAGAAAATTGGCACCAGCAAAGAAAACCAAATAAAGTATTTAAGTTTGCCTTTCTGTGTGTCTTTAAAGACTAATGATGTTGAACAGAGCTTTCATATGCTTATGAGTCTTTGGTGAAGTGTACATTTAATGATCTTTTTTCACTGTTGCTGAGAGTCTTTGGTTTGAATTATTGAGGCAGGTTCTTTCAATACGTTTATTGAGGTATAATTGCCGTGTAATAAACTGCACATGTTTTTAGCATACACTTTTAAGTTTGGACACATACACGTATGTGTACATACACACCAAGATAATGAGCATACCTATCAGACCAGATGGTTTCCTCATGCCCTTTTATAATTTTTTCTCCTCACCCTTCCCTGTCTGTCATTCTCCTGATCCACTGATTTGCTTTCTCTTAGATGACTTTATATTATGTACAGTTTTCATATAAATGGAATCTCATAGTCTGGCATCTTTCAGGATAATTTCTAGATCCATTTATGTTGTAGAGTCCATTTCACTGCTGAATAGTATTCCATTGTAAGGCATGCCACAAGCTGTTTATCCATGTGTTATTTCTACCTTTTGGCTATTTCAATTAAAACTGCCTTGAACACCCATATGCAGATTATTCTTTTAACATATGCTTCTATTTCTTTAAATAATTAAGAGTGGAATGATCAGATCATATGTTAGTGTACGTTTAATTTTTTAAGAGACTGCTAAACCTTTCTCAAGTGGTTGTGCTATTTGACATTTCCATGAGCAGTATATAAGAGTTGCGATTCCTCTGCATCCTTGCCAATCATTGGTATGGTCAGTCTTTTTTATTTTGACCGTTTTAATAGGTGTGCAGTAGTATCATGGTTTTAATTTGTATTTCCCCAGTGACTAATGATGTTTTACATGGTTTCACATGCTTACTGGCCCTCTTGAAGCCTTTGGGGAAGTCTGTTCAAATCTTTTGCCTGTTTATATTGGCTTTGAATTTTTTTTTTTTTTTTAGTAGAGACAGGGTTTTGCTCTGTCACCCAGGCTGAAGTGTAGTGGCACGATCATGTGGTTTTGTAATTTTTATTGAATTTTGGGAGTTTAAAATTTGTAATTATTTAATATTAAACCTATTAGTGTATTTGATATATTAATACTTTACATTTAATGTACGTTTATATAATAAAACATTTCATTTTAACAGGTAACATAAATACAGTTTCCAATTTATAAGAGTTTGACTTAGTATTGTTTTTAATTTACAATGGTGGAAACACATTATGCATTCAATATATTTCTCAATTTACAATGAGGTTACAAATTGTTAACTTACGATAGTTTCAACTTAAAATGGGTTTATCAGGACATAGCCCTGTCGTAAGTTGAGGAGTATGTGTATTATAATATATTTAATCTATGTTGTACTTGTGGTACCAGTACATGATGCATTTTGAGTTAAAATCTTTACATGGCACAAAGATTGGATCAAAGTTGTAGGTTTTTTTTTTTTCTTTGTATCTAATTGTTCCAGCATCATTTGTTGAAAGGACTATCCTTTCTTCACTTAATTGCCTTTGCTTCTTTCTTGAAAATCAGTTGTCTTTATACATATGTCTGCTTCTCAACTGTTCTGTTCCATAGAGCTACTTATCTTTTATTCCAGGACTACCCTCTCTTAACAACTTGATAACTTTTGCAGATAGAGTTAGTCCTCCAGCTTTTTCTTTTTCAGAGTTGTCCTATTTTAGGTCAGAGGTTGGCAAAGTTTTTTTGTAAAAGACCAGATTGTAGAGATTTTAAGCTTTACATGCTGTATATATAGTTTCTGTTGCATGTTCTTTTTTCTGTTACAGACCTTTTAAAATATAAAAATAGTTCTCACATTCCATTCAACCTGTACAGTTATAGACGATGAGCCACATTTGGTCTTGATGTGGCTGTACTTTGTTGACTTACTTCCTTTCTAGGACTTCTGTATTTCCATATAAAATTTAGAATCAGGTTGTCAATTTCTACCACCACCACCCCACACCCCCAAAGTAACTCACTAAGATTTTGATTATCATTGTGTTGAATCTGTAGATTAATTGATGTCTTCACAATATTGAGCATTTCAACCCATGAACATAATATATCTCTCCACTTATTTAGGATTTACAATTTTTTTCTCAGCAATGTTTGTGTTTTTTGGTGTTTGGGTCTTCCTAGGCATTTTCTCTCTGACACTATTGCCGATGGTATTTTAAAGATTTCAATTTCTCTGCTAGTTCACTACTACCTGGAATACAGTTTTTGTACATATATTCATCTCGTATGCTGCAACCTTGTTAAACCTGTTCTGGAATATTTTTTATATTAATATTATACTAACCTACATAATTTTATTCTTTTTTAATTTTTTTAAATAAAAAAAATAGAGATGGGGGGTCTCGCTATGTTGACCAGTCTTGAACTCCTGACCTCAAGAGATCTTCCCATCTTGGTCTCCCAAAGTGTTGGGATTACAGGTGTGAGCCACTGCACCTGGCCGCAATTTTATTCTTAAATGAAAATGGATCTTTGATATCGTCGCCAGATTCATATTTGTTTTTTGTTTGTTTTCTTTTTTTTTTGAGACGGAGTCTTGCTCTGTCACCCAGGCTGGAGTGCAGTGGCCAGATCTCGGCTCACTGCAAGCTCCGCCTCCCGGGTTCATGCCATTCTCCTGCCTCAGCCTCCCGAGTAGCTGGGACTACAGGCACCCGCCACCTCGCCCGGCTAGTTTTTTGTAATCTTTAGTAGAGACGGGGTTTCACCGTGTTAGCCAGGATGGTCTTGATCTCCTGACCTCGTGATCCGCCCGTCTCGGCCTCCCAAAGTGCTGGGATTACAGGCTTGAGCCACCGCGCCTGGCCTTTTGTTTGTTTTCTTGAGTTGGAGTCTTGCTGTGTTGCCCAGGCCGGAGTGCAGTGGTGCAATCTTGGCTCACTGCAACTTCCACCTCCCGGGTTCAAGTGATTCTCCTGCCTCAGCCTTCTGAGTAGCTGGGATTACAGGCACCCGCCTCCACGCCCAGCTAATTTTTGTATTTTTAGCAGAGACGGGGTTTCACCATGTTGGCCAGGCTGGTCTTGAATTCCTGACCTCAGGTGATCCACCCACCTCAGCCTCCCAACGTGCTGAGATTACAGGCATGAGCCATCACACCTGGCTGCCAAATTAATATTCAGATATACATACGTTGCCATTATGGAGTGATAACCAAGGACACTTTGAGGTTTAGGCATAGCTATGGTAAAAACGGCTCTCCAACTTTGCATCTAAATTGTAAAATAATTCCGTCGATGCTTTTAAACCTGCCATGTATAATTTTTCAATGTATTAGCCATTTAATAACTCTGAGACAGCTAACATTTAAATAAATCCCTGTTTGGGAATGATGTTTGAATAATATTGTGAGCATATTTGCCAATTTATACCATATTAAGATTCTAAATAATACAGCTATTTAATATATCTTGATAATTAGTATTTGAAATAAGTGTATTTTTCTGAGTAGCCTTTTGGAAAAAGTGCACAGAATATAGTTTCCAGTCATATGCTACTTTTTTTTTTTTTTTTTTTTTGAGTCAGAGTCTTGCTCTGTTGCCCAGGCTGGAGTGCAGTGGCCGGATCTCGGCTCACTGCAAGCTCCGCCTCCCGGGTTTACACCATTCTCCTGCCTCAGCCTCCCATGTAGCTGGGACTACAGGCACCTGCCACCTCGCCCGGCTAGTTTTTTTTTTTTTTTTGTATTTTTTAGTAGAGACGGGGCATATGCTACTTTTCTAACTTGCACTTATCTAAACATCTCATCAGGAGAGAGTTCAATGGTACCCGAACCGAAAGTCCAGTGAATCTGACTTCTCCAGTCCAGTCCCCAGTTTGGTTTGCATGTCTGCTTACAACCATCATTTCTGCAAATTTTCCACTTAGTCTATCAAAAATCGGTGCTCTGAAAGTTCTCGAAAAGGTGCAGCGGTTTTTTGGAGTCTCTGAATGACGGCAGCATTCTGTGAATCTGCTTCCTCCAGTGTGATTGTTTCGTCTAACAACCTGAGGACAGGAAGAGTTGTTGCCAGGGAAAAGGAGGACTTCTTTTGAGATCCTCGGTATTTTTCAGTGAAGTCTTTGATATGGCTTACCCTTCCTAATCAGTGACTGTCCTGAAAAGGGCTGGAAGACAGGCTTTGTAGACATACATATTTCGTTTTTCTTGTCTTCAACGTTAACACCCACCTCTTCTTTATCAAAAATTCCCTGTGATTCTGAAGGTAATTCCCCCTTTTTGATGGAGTTCCAAAACTGCTGACTTGCACCATTTGAATAACTTCCGAAATCGTTGACAGCGAATCCATTTTTCTGTAATTTTATGTTTACATCTACCTGTTTCTTCTGTTAAGTGGGAGACAAGCATTTGGAACCAACCTTCTGAGCTTCCTCAAAAAGGCTATCAACAAACCATTCACAATTTGTTTATTGATTATCACCAAGAGGTTGATTGTCAGGTCCTGTTTCATAAACCCAGTCTTTTATACTTTCAAGATTATCTACTTCTTTCATTTTCTTTTGCCTTACTCCGAGCACAGCCACCAAGCCTCAGCCTCACTCAGCTCAGGTGCCACCAGCACCATTTGGCTAGAGCCCTTCAGACCCGGAGCACCTCACCCCAGACCACCTCCAGTACCCCGGCTGCACTGTTGATAATCCCGTCTGCCTCTGTCTCCACCAGGCGCCAAGTGTTCGCGCACACCCACTGCCTGCAGACTTGAGGCGCGCGCATGGGCTTTTTTTGTTGTTGCTTCGAGACGAGTTTCGCTCTGTATCTCAGGCTAGAGTGCAGTGGCATAATCTTGGCTCACTGCAACCTCTGCCTCTGGGGGTCAAGCAATTCTTGTGCCTCAGCCTCTAGAGTAACTGGGACTACACGCGTGCCCCACCACGCCAAGCTAAATTTTTTTGTATTTTTAGTAGAGCCAGGCTTTCGCCATGTTGCCCAGGCTGGTCTAGACCTCCTGGGCTCAAGTGATCCACCCATCTCGGCTTCCCAAAGTGGTGGGATGATAGACATGAGCCACAGCACCCAGCCTCTGGCAGCTTTTTAGTTGATTCTGTCAGATTTTCTACTAGGACAATTCTGTTGTCTGCACATAAAATTTTTTACTTCTTGCTTTCCAATCTGTATGCGTTTTGTATTTTCCTTATTGCATTAACTAGAACCTGGAGTATATTGTTAAATAGAAGTTGAGAGACCAGTCTTGTCTTGTTTCTGGTCTTGGGAGTAAATCATTGAATCTTTTACCATTTAGTAACTATCTTTTTTATTATCTTTTTTTTTGATAACACCTATTAGGTGGGAAATAGTGTTCATTGTTTTTTATTTTTATTTCCCTGGTGGCTAAAGATTTTTATTATTTTTTTTTCCTCTGGGCTTAGCTCACCTGAAAACTAAAGATGTTGATCATCTTTTCATCAATTTTTGACTATATGTCTGTCTTCTTTGGGAGAATGTCTGTTTAGATCCTTTGCCATTTTTAATTTAAGTTATTTTCATTATTGAGTTTCAAGAGCTCTATAAATTCTAGCTACAAATACCGTATCAAATAAATGGTTTACAGGTATTTTCTCATTCTTTGTGTTGTCCTTTCACTTTCTTGATGGCATCCTTTTGAGCATAAAAGTTTTAAATTTATTTTTTTCTTATGCTTTTGGTCTCAAATCTAAGAAACCATTGCCAACTCAAGGTCATGAAGTCTTTTATATTTTCTTCTAGGATTTTTATAGTTGCAGCTCTTACCGTTAGTTCTGTGATCCATTTTGAACTAATATTTATGCATGCTGTGAACAGTGTATCCAGCTTCATTGTTTGGCATGTAACACCCAGTTACCCTAGCATATTTGTTGAAAAGACTGTTTCTCCCATTGAATTGTCAAGAGTCAATTGTCAAAAGTCAGTTGACCGTAAATGTAAAGGCTTATTTATTTATTTATTTTGAGACTGGGTCCTGCTCTGTTACCCAGGCTGGAGTGCAGTGGTGTGATCTGGGCTTACTGCAGCCTTGACCTCCCAGGCTCAAGTGATCCTCCCCCTTGAGCTTCCCAAGTAGCTGGGACTACAGGTGCACACCATCACGCCTGGCTAATTTTTGTATTTCTTGTAGAGACAGGGTTTCATCTTGTTGCCCAGACTGGTCTTGAACTCCTGGGCTCAAG